TGGACGATATATGGTAGTAAAAAGGCTATCTGAGAAATGGTAGTTTGAATACTATTAATTAAGAAAAAAAACCGGTAATGGGCAAGAAGTCTAATTAAAATAAACTCATTTTAATACAAAGGTGAAATAAGAACGATTTTTTATTATTCAATTTTAACAGATAGATTTTTAGTGAGATCTGGTCTTTGAGATGTATAGTATTCAGAAAACTCACCGGATTCCCAATCTCCCTCGCCTTCTTCGGTACCACAGTTGAATTTTGGAGAGGATTGTTTACATGTGATGTATGAATTGTAATTGATGTTCTTATTTTCATTTATACTTCGAGTGTCAGAGGTGATATGAACTTCACTATTCTGCCATTTGATTAAATCAGTTTTTTTAATGGACGGTTGATTAAATATATGATTTTTTTTTATTTCCTCTTTTGTGGAATCATTCAAGCTTGATAAAAGAGGTTTGCTATTAGGCTGTTTGCGTTTAGACGCAGTCGAAGTATTTTTTGAATTGGTTGATGTGTCGTATTGAATTTTAGTCTACGAATATTAGATTTATAGATTAAGCATATTTTCTGCGCAAAACGTGTTTTCACTTACAACTATATCCTTATGATCCAACGGTTCTATTGTTTGACTTTTCGCTGTGTTATCATTGACGATCGGAGTTAAGACTTTTTTTTCAAGAAAGCAGTTTTGGGGCAAACTGTCATAATCTGATCTTTCAAAATTTAAAACGTCATTTTTCTCTTTATCAGAAGGTTCAGCGTTAACATCTCTGCTACAGTTTTCTGCTTCAAATACGATCGAAATCTGGAAAATATATAAAGTTCGGTTACGATAGGTACAATCAGTAGGTTATTGTAGTCAGGATCTTAAAAAATCCTGCGCCACGTACTTTGAAATCCTCTGAAAACGCTTTGTGTTCTCTGTCTTTATGTACATCATCGATTTCCGATTTGCTTAAAGTGTGTATATATTTGTTAACTGTTCCATCGGATTCACAAGCTAAACAGGAAAAAAAGCTTGTTAAATTGTTGAACTATTTAGAATTGCTAGTTATACTCACGTGAATAATTTCGAACAAAAAATGTATTTAGCCAAAAATGACAAACTATTTTCTTTGAGGATTTTTGTTTAAGTTCGAATTTTATATCACCGGAAACTGGTAAAGATGGTTTACTGGTCAATATAAATGATTTTTGAAAATCAATCGTCCAGGTTTTCAGTCTCTGAAATATGCATAAACCAGAATTAAATAATTTTTCTCGTCGTAGATTGTTAGATGTTATTGACTTACATCTGGCTTTGCATTTTCTGTGGCTGAGTCGTGTAATACAGATACTGAACATTTTACCGTGCCGTAATTTTGCAGAAAACCGGACTCCGAGAACCGTATTTCACATACCTAAAAATATAAAAAGAAAAAAGTTAACTTCGTTGTAGCTTAATTGGTACGACTTTCTTGAAATACTCACGTTAAGGCTTATTTTCGAATATGGAACACTTGAACAAACTAGTTTGGAAAAATACTGAACATATCGACGCTGAGATGGGATTGTCACACCTTTACGATCCTTTGTACGCTTCTCATCATACCACGCTAATGCCTCATCAGCGGATTTTTGTAATCCACTGAACAGTAAATATGCACAAATCATGGTACCTATAAAAAGTTTGTTAGATCAGATAAAAATATTTATTTAATACAATGTACTTTTTAATGAATCTACGGACAAAGACTACACTTTTCTTACCGGTTCTGCCTTTTCCAGCTTTACAGTGCACGGCTACGACATTGGACGAATCTTCCTTAAGCCACAAATCAACATCCTTGCAAAATCGTTGTATTAACTCAATCGTTGGAGGGTTATGGTCTTCGAACGGAAAAACTGCTACTCTCTGTAATAAATTGATGGATTTATTCATTGGAACTACTATAGCCACACAAGATATATCCTACCCCGTGAAATTTTCCCACGTCGTAACTACGCTCTAAGCATAGGTTATATATTTTGTAATGTTGGCCATGATTTTCTTCCAAAAACTTATAGACATCTTCCAGACGGTTTCTGTAGAGGCCCTCTATTTTATCCGGTGCTGGATACCCCATGGCAATTATGTTATCATTAATATCTGTAAGAAAATAAGGAAGCATAAGAGTTATAATTCCTTAAAAAGGCACTTCATTTGATGACTTACAGGTTAAATCCAAATTGTATCCTTTTTCTTTGTATCGTATACGTTTTTTGCTCACTACATTGCGTATCACGTTAGACATTAACGAAATGGTGTTGGCCATATTTTTAAAGTTAAAAGACTTGTCTTTTGTTAAATTAGGTTAGCTGCATCCATTCAAATCTAATTGGAAACCAGTTGTTTACTTATATCTTAATCCATTTCAATGTTTTTGTTCTAAAAAGAGAAAAGAAGTGAGGACATTAATAAGTTTTAATAAATTTTGAGGTTTTTAAACTTATAAAACAGGCTATCAGAGAAGACTAGAAGGAATCAATAGTTTAGAACCACTCGAAACTCTTATTAAGGATTTTTAAATTAGAGATCATTTAAGACATTATCACTTGTGTATATCCTAACAGGTTCTTAATATCATCAATAGTGGGTTAGAAATCCTATGCAAGGTATTATTTTCTGTTCTGTGAGATAGTAACTCAAGGTAATATCTTTAGAAATTAATGGTAATGAATGTATCCAAAATCCGCTAGATGTATTTGCAACATACTACCATGATATGATTGCCTTGTTATTCATTATTCATAATTATTAGAGGCTAGTAATGATATTTTACAAATTTTGGGTCGAGATGTTCTTGTATATAGATCTGAAAATCGCAATCCTTACTCTTGGATGCAGATACATACAAACACAAACTGCATTTCTCGCAGGGGAATAGTTTTTTAGCTCTTTTAAGAACAGGTAAAGAGTTGACTAAAACCCTTTTCATTTAGTATTTTGCTCAAGTTCGGTATACCTAGGTCCTTAAAATTGCCAATCACACACACACTCGCACACTCGCACAGCAGGCACACACACATGCAGGGCATATGTACACGTGAAACATACTTACATGTATTGGCATATTATCAAAGATAAACAATATAACAATTTTCCGCTTGGCATAATACATTCAGTTTGCACGTCGAATATCTCAACTTGCCGATAGAGTTTTCTTATTGCAGCCAACGCATGGGATTCGAGAGCAATTAAATTGGTTCACTGGCTGAACGACGGGCGATTTTTGAACAATCGAAATCCGTATTTGAAACACCGAACAGTAATTTCGAATTACTTAACATAGCGACTGATTTGGCAACTGTTTTCTGTTTGCTGTTTTCGGTTTTCGGGTTTTTGTTTTATTTTATCTCGCCGAGTAGACACACTTTTTCGACAAACTGTTTGCGAATGCGAATGCGAATGGTGGTATGTATTGCAGTTAGAGCACATATGCATGTACAGAAATATGCAGATATGGATGCACCGATTTTTGTGCATTTATGTACATATTTGTTTAAACAAAAACATATTTACAATTCCACAGACATTTTACACACTTTTACACTATCAGCACCACACGAATATACATATGTATGCGACTACTGTTTAATACATATGTATGTGCATATGGGTATGTTTAAGTCAATAAGCTAAATGTATTTGGGTTCCCACCGAGCAGGTTCTTGTTACTGCATCTCAAAAAGTTATCACATGTTATACGTTAAGCCACGAAATTCCAAATAAAACTTTTAAATTATGTGTAAAACTTAAACAATAGCGCTCATGCTCTATTAAATGTATTATTAATTTATCAAGCGTGAGATCCACAGGGTGTTTAAGGTTAGCGATACCACTACAAGATTTGAGAAAAAATACGTGCAGCGTTATCGACGTGCGCCTTTTCGATTAAATTGTGTATGCAAAAACTATCGACAGTTGTTATCGATAGTTGTTAATTTCCCAAAAATATTTCACATAAGTTCTATAACGTTTCTTAATTATTTTAGTTTATAAAATAAAGGTAATCGATTTTCCAAGGACGGGCTTCATTAAACCAATGAGGAATAGTATATAAAGACTTGTCAAATTATTTATTTAAATATAAATCAATTAAATAAAATAAAATAAAGTTATTTATATCGTTATTTTATTTAAAAACTTTTGTTAAGTCTAATTTCTCAATTTTGTAAGCTGTTGAACATATTGAACTTAGCTGCTTTAACAGCTGTTCTATGGAAATCGCGCAGTGTGACCAAGTACAATTTTCAATATAAAAAAATTACTCACCTGAATTATTAAAAACAGTAATTTCTATAGAATTATAAGAGTTCTTCTGTAAAACCCAAACTCTATTTGTACACCTTCCACATATAATATATATATATATATTTACTAAATGCTAATGCATTAAATTAAAAAGTAAGTATTTTTTGTGATTCACTCAGACTTTTGTTTTATAAAATTAGCCATATTGTATGCTATTTAAATAAATTGGGTAATCTTTGATTTGTAGGTCAGTTTCAATACTGGTGCAACAGGTTGCTTAGAGTTAGTAGAGTGTGTGCAGCCCTATATAGATTCTTTGCTGAAGAATTCGCGTTTTTCGTCGTCACCTTTATACTGAAAGAAAAACCAACAACATAAAGAAACCTTTAAAATGTGCCACAAAAATTTTGACTTGTCATCTTTGGATTTATTAAAGAAATATGTTGTCCTTTTTATTTTTAACGCAACACAAATCCTTAAAAATCAAATCACACTGGAAAAAAGCGAAAAAATATTTCTTCAACATGCAAAATAACAAGCAATATCTATGCCATCGCCAACAGAAATATTTGTGAATATTTCGATTTGAAGTCGCAGAAATAAAAACAGATTTTTTGCCGTATTAACCAATTTTATTTTCATTTCTCTCATCGTTTCTTTAAAAAAGTATCTGCAGTCATTTGCTCCAAATGTATTCTAACCCCTTAGGCTAACTAACTATTCGACATTTTCACAAAAAGAATATTGCTCTGCTTTTTTTTTTTAACATAAAGCATTCTTATGGATCTCAGTGTTTTCAAGAGATTCACTGACTAATGACTGGTTAATTTGTTAAAATATCAAAAATGCTGGAACCGAAAAACCGTTATATGTTAAACCCGATACTCTTAACTTAAGATAGTCGCTTGAAGCATTGGCTAGAGCAGCACTTTATTAGTTTTTGTTTGATTGAGTTAAAAATGTAGGTAGATCATGCAGTATTTCTTACCAAATTTAAAGTCAATGTCTTAATTATTGTTGGTGGTCTGCCTGCAAGCACCTGCCGGTTATTGCTCCTATAGTCTTCAAGATCCAGAAAATCGGACAGATCATCCAGAAGTGTCTGAAACGCGTTCTATCCCGTTTCAGACTTCTGAACGAACCGGGTATAATTACACAGCTTCATTTTGAAGGGTATTAGATGATTATACAAGTTCTGTAGAAAATGAACACCTAAACAATTCCGATTCCTTTTAAGTTCTTTAATATTTAGACCAATTATGATGCGAAAGCTTGTACGTATACGAGAAACTTTTCCGCATTTTCTTTATTAAAATTGCGTACTTCTAGAATTTGGTTTGACGTTGTTCGAGTCTTAGCGTATTTCTTCTTACTAGTTTTCTACGTTATAACTTAAATTTTATGTGCTTGCAATTGTCATGTTATTAATGGGTACTCGTTAAATAAATAATGAAAATACGACGACGACTATCAGTTTTGTTGATGTGGGGTGTTGTTGTTGTTGTTTGTTGTTGTTGGTTGGCCGATCGAAAACGATCGAATGCTACGATTTTAAATGTTTCGAGTCTGCGTTTACGGTGTCGCACTTAAGTTATTATTTATTAATCATTACTCATAGGCAACTATGAGGGGTGTTGTCATTAGAATCGATGGTTTCCAACCGGCGAGCGAGACCGGAAGCGTCCAGCTGATTGTCCGCCAGTGCGTCCATAGCTGGCACTGCTTCCACTGCTGTAGCGGCTGCTCTCGCGTCCGCCGCCGTACACCTCGCGTCGATTGAAGCCGCTTCCGCCGCCATCGCGTCCATTGTAGCTGCTGGCCCCGGATCGTCCGGAGCTATAGCCCCTCTCCGTGTGACGACTCGAGGATCCGCTGGATCCACGCTGCCGGAATCCCCCGCCGCCGCTGCCACTGCTCGTGATGCTGTGCCGGCCGAAATCGCCGCGTCTGCCCCTTTCGGCCGGCCCGCCACGCCTACCCTGACGCGGCCGCCCCTTCGAGATCTCTACTCGCAGCTGGGATCCCAGGAGTTCCGAACCGTTCAGTATGTCGCACGCCTTTTCGGCGTCGTCGCGGTGCTCGAACTCCACAAACGCAAAGCCCGGGGGGTTGAATGCTATCCATACCGAATTCAGCTTGCCGTACTTTGTGAACTCCCCCTCCAGATCGTCTTTTTTCACTTTATCGGTCAGATTGCCAACGTACACCCTTGTCCCACGCTGATCACCCATGCTAGACATCTAATGTTACTGTTTCCGCGATATCCCTTTCAGATACCTGCTTGAAAAATAAATAATCAATAAGTTATCACCACCGGACAATTTAGCGTTTGTATCTATATCAAGTTTTCAACCAGGGTGGTTAAACTCGTTGCAAAAATGCTAATTTTTAAAAATAGCCTCGCATTTGGAACACCGAAATCGGGCGAAAATTGTGTTTTATTTATAGTATTCGGGGACCTTAAAAAAGGGACTTTCCATTACTTTAATGACTTTCGCTTGGACCAATTTGTACACTAATACTTATTAAAAAATATTATTTTAATTTGTAGATATTTTTGCGTATTTAAAAAGTGTTTAGAATAATACTTTGTCGCTAATTCAACTGCTGTCTAATTTCTTGAAATAATCCTTGATCAAATGACATAACAGCATTTTCACAGCGTTATAAGTTATACATGAAAAATAGTTTATATATTAATTGCCCTTAAGGGAAGGGGTTATTAGAGTATATCCTATTCCATATTCAGTAATTCAACAGTTTAGGAAAAAAACACATGAACGAAAAAAAAAAAATAAAAAAAAAAACGAAGTAACATTTAGAATTTTCATTTGTATTGCAAAAAATACCCGATTCCTATAAAGCACCATGTCTTTCATAATTTGTTTTGATAAGTTTTAAATTGTTCGATGGTATAACTATAAACTTTTCCTCTCTTCAGTGGAAATTTTAAAATGTGAACATTTTCGGATGTGTTTTTCATGATAAAATTATAGAAAATATGCAAAGTAATGTTGAAACAGCTTTACCAAAGGGAAATCTCCCTTTAAAAATTGTGATTGCGGCAGTTCTGGATCGAGGATGTACTTTGTGGGAATCCTAGTCTCACATCTATCAAAAACCCAACTGTTTCCTCTCGAAGTGCTTTGTGGTAGTTCCCGATAGTTTGGTATTTTCCACTGTTCCAAATGAGATATATTTTGCTATCTTTGCTTGTACATATGTATTAGTTTGTTTATTGATATCTTGAGTATTTACGAAACGACGCATAATAACAAAGAATTCGTTTTTGCATTTTTTAAAAGTTGTAATGGCAGAAATGGAAATGCAAAGTAATAAAATGTCTATCACAGAGGAAGCACAAGCGGTAAGAAGATATTTAATGGTTGTATTTCTATTTCGTATCGAACAGGGAATTACGGACTATGTGTTAATGCGCAGTTAGGCTATATGTAAATATGTTTGTACACAACTGTGTTTGTAAGCAAAAAAAGAGCGCTAACTTTTAAACAAATTTTTAAATTATTATTTTCCAAAAAAAAATTGGTAATTTGTCTTTGTCTATATAATTTACTATGTTTGGAAAGGCCCAAGAGGGTTTTTTTTTAACACGGAAAAATGGATAAGCATGATATTGCATCTGTCTTCTACTAATTTATACTTTACACATCATAAAATATCAATGTATTTCAGCAGACACGGAAAGAATGTGGGAAAAGAGGACGGAAACCAGGAAGAAAGACATCGACTGAAAAATTGGATATCAAGGCCAAACTTGGTAAGAAATAGAAAAAGTATTTGTAATATGTACTTATTTTAATGTACATAAATACATACATACGTTACAATTCAAACTAAAGCGATTTTGTGACCCCTAGCTCACCCTTATAGAGTTTATTATAATTTCTGGCAACTTAGGTTACTTTTGCGACCATGAAACTAATTCAAACCGTTTTCTATCGAGACCCTGTGAATTAATGCAATATCTAATGTATTTTCTTTTGAATTTACAGAACGTAGCAGGCAAAGTGCTAGAGAATGCCGGGCACGTAAGAAACTACGCTATCAGTACCTCGAAGAATTAGTTGCGGATCGGGAGAAGGCTGTAGTGGCTTTGCGTGCCGAACTGGAGCGCGTCGGTATATAATTTATCAAGCCAGGTTCAACCAATTTATTTATTCTTATCTCTATTGCAGTTAATACAATGGAATAGACAGTTAAGTGAAAGTAACACTCCAATCAACAATGACCAGTTGCTTCAGGAAATCGGAATCCTCAAACAAGAATAACCTATATTTTTATTCTTAACATAAAATAATGATAAATATACGGCAGTTACTATTTATATTTTTAAACAAAACCTGTGTAAGTTAAGATGGTTTGAAACAGTTTGGTTTTTAAAATATTGTATTTGTATTAAGATACTTTTTATACAGAACTGTTAACGTACGATTTGAAGGGTATTTTTGTTAACACATTGAACGGTTCTGTTTTGTACTTTAAATAAACCGATATAATACGAAGTGAAATCATTGATGTATACAAAAAAGGGGAACATTAAAATTAATTTTCTTTCAGTTTTTATATCCAAAACGTTGTAATACCTGATTTTTTAATTAGTTAAAGTTTGCAACCATCTGTGAACCTTTTTGGTAGTGGGACAGTGGTAGTGAAACAATTATTTTCAAAGTGGAGGACTATTCGATTACCTTTTTGCGAAGAAACCTATCGAGGGTTTATCATCTCTTTCACGGCATAAAAATACAGATAATAGAAATAAATACAGAAACAAATGTAAACATAATTGATAAGCGTGAATAGTTCTTCATCGTTTAGGAACTTAAGTTACTTGTAACTTATACATATGTGCCAACTTACCATCTTTACTTTAAAACCGGAATCTCAAACAAGATAATATGGCATTAAATGGATTCTTAGAGTTCTTTCAAAAGGGCAAGGTGGGGTTGTTTTTATGCAAAATAATACACAAATAGCATATATTCACATTGAATTTCAGACTTTTAGGCCAAAGAAGCCCTTTGCCTCGGGAACAATTAGATATTCGCTACACAAGCAAGCTCAGGCCAGTCTGCAATCCGGGATTAATCTTCGGCAAGTTGTGCGGCTGCCCCAAGGGGAGAATTTGAACGACTGGCTGGCTGTACATGGTAAAAACTATATTATTAATACCATATTGCATCAGTTCTATATGCATAATGTTTAATCCTAGTTGTGGACTTTTTCAACCGCATAAATCTCCTTTACGGCACTGTCTCCGAGTTTTGCAACGAAACTACATGTCCCACAATGTCTGGAGGATCCCGGTATGAGTATTTATGGGCTGATGGAGATCTGTAAGTAAATAAACCCGGTAAACACCTTCCCAAATTATTAATACTTTTTTATAATATCAGATATAAAAAGCCAACTGCACTCTCAGCCCAAAAATATATTGAACACTTAATGGACTGGATTGAGACACAAATCAACAATGAATCTGTCTTTCCCGTATCTACTGGTGAGTTCAGAGCCTTGTCCGGTGCTGTTCTCCAAAATTACTTATTCCCCGACTTTATTTCAGATGTTCCTTTTCCGAAAAACTTTTCAGCCATTAGTCGGAAAATTTTAACCCGTCTCTTTCGTGTGTTTGTCCACGTCTATATCCACCACTTTGATCGTATAGTCAGCATTGGCGCAGTGAGTATTACTATATGTTGAACATTTATCAGAGTTATCAAATAAATTATTATTTACCTTATTTTAGGAAGCCCACGTAAATGCCTGCTACAAACATTTTTACTACTTTGTCCAAGAATTCGACATGGTTTCGGCCAAGGAGTTGGAACCGCTGCAGGAAATGACATCTAGAATTTGCAAAGACAAGGATTAAATGTATCTCGTACTAGATTGTGATGTAAATATTTATTGTTTATTAAAAAATAAATAAGCTTACATGAAGTTTGGTAATCTTTGTTTTGTTTAGAGAGATTCATTTATTGTTCGGTAACTATAAATGTTTTTTGAAGTGTATGGGTTGTGACTTTTGGTATTTTTATACAAACAACAAGTATATTAAGGGCATTCCTTGCAAATGGAAATGGTATCTTTGGCTGCAGAAGATTTGGTCGCACCGATGTAAACAGATTTCTTTTTGGCACTACTATATTTTTTTTTGCTGAATTGTTTTATTGAAATAAACCCGAGTTTAAGTATTTTGCGAAATGGAGATGGTTGACCCAGATGCACATTTGGTTGCCCTTAAAGGTAAATCATAATATTTAATAAATGTTCATAAATTTCCATTACCCAGGAGTTCTGTTATTGTATTTTATAGTTATGCGGCTGATGCGGCCCACTTTGGTGGGAGTTGGACCTGTCGTAACTTGCGAGCCCACGGATTTGGTGCAGAAATTTAGCAGCTCCCAGGAGAGTGACGGAATATCTGGGGCCTGTGCGGAAACCCTGGCGGCGGGACAAGTTCTATTGCTACCCCAGTCCTTCGGAAGCATTTATCTGGGCGAAACATTCGCCAGCTACATCTGCGTCCACAACACCACCGCCAATCCTGTGGAATGTGTGACCGTCAAGGCCGATCTTCAGTCCAACACGACGCGCATCAACTTGTCCATGCATGAAAACGCCAAGTCCCCAGTGACGTTGGCTCCAGGCGGAACAATCGACGATGTTATACGATACGAGGTTAAGGAAATCGGAACCCATATGTAAGTGTACATGATAACAAACGCGAATTCTTCAGAAAAGTAACATAACATCTGCATACTTTATTTGCAGTCTCGTCTGCGAAGTAAACTACTCGACTCCCGCGGGCTATGCCCAGTCCTTGAGAAAGTTCTTCAAGTTTCAAGTTCTAAAGCCACTCGATGTTAAAACAAAATTTTACAATGCCGAAATCGACGAAATATACTTGGAGGCACAGGTCCAAAACGTGACTACCAGCCCATTTTGCCTCGAAAAAGTGGAATTGGATGGTTCCGAGGACTATTCCGTAACACCTTTGAATACGCTGCCTAATGGGGAGTCTGTTTTTACGGTGAAGCACATGTTGCAGCCCAATAACAGTTGTCAGTTTCTTTATTGCATTAAGGTGAGCAGTGAAACATTGTAATCCCCTAGTTTATACCAAGTTTATTTTTTTTCTTGTGTATCCTGAGCAGCCCAAAGGAGATATTGCTAAGGACATAGATACTCTGCGGCAGTTTAATAATGTGGGAAAACTGGATATTGTCTGGAGGTCGAATCTTGGCGAAAAAGGCAGGCTGCAAACCAGTCAACTGCAGCGGCTGGTAAGTAGGAAAGTATCCTAAGGTTATAATGGATTAAATTCTTAATTTTCAGCCATTTGAGTGCAAAACTCTCCGCTTGGAGGTTCTAGATGCGAAGAATACCATTAAAATTGGCACTATATTCACGTTCAACTGTCGGGTGACGAATACATCTGAGCAGGCGATGAAATTAAATGTTCGCCTGGTTGCCAAGTTTTCACCGGACAGTCAATACACGGGATGCGCTGATTTTATGCTGAGTTTGCTGCAAAGTGGAGAATCAGCTGAGTTTCCCTTGTCGGTCTGTCCATCTAAACTGGGCCTTGTTAAAATATCACCCTTGATATTGACCAATACACTTCAAAATGAACAATTTACCATAGAGAATGTCGTTGATGTTTTTGTCGTTAATTCGGATTACGACAACGATCCCACAACGCACCAGAATAAGTTAATTCGTTACGAAAGTGCTGGAAGCTGTTTAAACCAAAAGCAAGTTCAACTGCAGGTTGTATAGTATTGTCTGTTAATAAACGTATAAATTTAATTTTTTTCTTTTATAACAAATTTAATTACTACGGTGGACTTTAATTTGGGATTTGTTACTGCTGTTTGTCAAACAGAAGAAATTCAATGACAAAAATTTGAATTTTGAATGACAGTGTGAATAGGGTATACTACACAGGCAAGATGTTATATGTGTGCTAATGTTAGCAATTAACGTTTTAGCGAATACCTTAAACCTGTTAAGTAACATTTAGGTCCAAATGCTCTGGCTTTTTCATCTTGTCAGACCTGACCACATTAGTTTAGATCAAAACACTAGAGATGTTACGAAATTTGTGCACTTTTACCTTTTCCACGAACTTCGGAAAATGCATTTTTCAAACGCAGGCTGTTCGTGGCATGGCGGGCCATTCAAAGTGGGCCAACATAAAGCACACAAAGGCTCTAAAAGATGGAGCTAGAGCAGCCTTATTTGCAAAGATTTCGAGGCAAATCCGCATGGCCATTCAGGAGGGCAACTCCGCGTAAGTCATTGGTTACTTTCACTCAAACTGATAAGTTAATATTCAATATTTCCGTTGAGGCAGTGATCCAGCCATTAATTCGCTCCTGCGCACGGAAATAGAAAGAGCCCTGAAGCAAAATATGCCCAGCGGAACTATACAAAACACGTTGAATAAATTTAAGTCCAGTAAAGTGCAGCTAAAAAAGTACCGGCTTGACATCAGGTATAAAAGAAGCGTATATCTGATATGCATTTTCTACACGGACAACTTTTCTGGGGTTAAAATGGATGCGACGCCAATGATTAAGAAAGCCGGGTAATATCTTTCCTAGAGTTATATTATTGCTAACTAAATACGTTTTTTATCTTTCAGAGGTGAATTTATGGATGTTGGTAATCTGTTTGAGGACTTTGGCTTAATAGAAGCTAAGTATGATTCATCAAAACTCCTCAGCGGGTCCAGTTTGGAAGATAAAGCCACTAATGATGCTATAGAACTTGGTGCTGAAGAGATTGAAATAGTTGACAATGCCGAGGGATCAGTAAATGTACGTAAAATGTTTCATTTTATGTTTACTTTATAAGTAATGTTAATTTTTTTTGTTTTTCCAGTTCCTATGCAGTCCTGTCGTTTTAACTAGTTTAAGTAGAAACTTGGAAAAGGCTGGATACACCGTTGAGAGCAGTGAACATATATTTTCTCCCATGGTAAGGCCTTCCTATATTTTACTAGAACAAAAATTTTACAATTCAGAATTTTTACTTTCAGAATGTTGTGCAATTATCCCCGGAAGACCAGAAAGCATATGACGTGTTTATAGAAAAACTAAGAAACATCCCAGGCTTAGAGGATATCTATGACAATGTTGAATAAAAATAACTTGTTGAATAAAACAGAAATATAGGCAATAAATTTGTAAACCGGCTGGCATCTGTTAAAAGCTATGTTAAGTATTTAGTGTTTCATGTGCAACGTTCCTAAAACAACGCAATCTATATGTTACTAAAAAAAACTTATGTAAACACGATGGGATACCCCTAACGAACTAAACTTCAGCTGTTTGTGCGAACGCAAACCAATACATGTGCAGCATCAAAATCGTTGGTAAAAATAAAATAGCAGACTTTAAATATGAATTATTTAAGAGTTATTCGGAATAATTGGAAAAAATGCACGTTCGGAGCGGCAGTGTCTGTGTACGCTCTGCAAGCGCTGAAAACGCACATTGAGTATGCATTCAGAAAACAATAATAAATGGCAAAAACTTTAACCTCTTTCTTAACCTCAGGATTGAACAACATATGAGGGAGTTTGCCTCCCAGATTCAATCCAATCAAATTGCCGATCGACCGAAGAAGGTGCTTGTTGTAATGAATCCGGTTGCCAATAAGAAGAGATCGGAAAAATTTGTAAGTAGCTGGAGCACACTTAACCAAAAGCCCACAAATCAGCCTTTGATTTTCAGTTCAAGAACTACTGCGAGCCGGTTTTGCATTTAGCTGGATACTCTGTGGAGATCCTGCGCACCAACCACATTGGACATGCCAAGAGCTACGTGGAGGAGATGGCTGCGCTGCCCGATGCGATTGTGGTGGCCGGCGGCGATGGAACCTCATCGGAGGTGGTGACGGGGCTGATGCGACGGCGTGGTAATCTTTGTCCCATCACCATTCTCCCGCTGGGCCGCTCCGTCCAGGCCGCCTCGAAGCGCTTCCAGATCTTTGGCGTCAAGGACGTGGCCTATGTGAAGAGCCTGTGCAAGGCACTGGAACCCATGCTCAAGGATGAGAGCCAGTACCAAAGCGTGATCCGCTTCGATGTTATCAAGGGAGACGAAGATAACGACAGCCAGCTGAAGCCCATATTCGGCCTGAATGGACTCTCCTGGGGCCTGATGGAGGACATTAATTCGGCCAAGGATAAGTACTGGTACTTTGGCCCCCTGCGTCACTATGCATCCGCCGCCTCCAAGTCGTTTGCGGACAACTGGAGCCTGAAGACTGACTATGTGTACACACCGCCATGCCCAGGCTGTGTGGATTGTGCTTCGGTTCAGCGGCAAGATGGGCTGCCGGTCGGCGGTGGCCTCTTCACCAGGAACCTCTTTAAGTACCAGAGGAACAGCGGCGAGGCCAGGAGGACTTTGGCTAAGAACGACAACTGCGGGAACAAGTTCGAGGGCAGCGTGGAGGCCAGTCAGATAAACATCAATTGTGTTCAGAACGAGGAGAACTTTGCGGAGCTGGAGAGCCAGTTCATCAGCTCGCTGCAGCCGGGCTGGGAGTTCATTAAGCAAATTCCACAGGTCACCTGCAGCAACATTCTGCCCAGCCTGGTGGTGAAGAGTCGAACCATTCAGCTGCATCCGGCCGGCGAAATGGCAGAGAAATTCTACTCCATAGACGGCGAGGAGTACGATGCAAGACCCATTAAGGTATCTGTTGTCCCCAATGCTATTAAAGTTTTTTGTTGAAATTTTAAACGTGTATATTAATTAAAATCTTGATTAAATGGCGCTATTTTAGTATAGCATAACACATTCACAGCAAAAGTTAACCGCTATTTCTTCCCAAATCCAGAGCTGCGTGTAATCATTCTCAAATTTCTCTGCGGTGATCAAAATCAATTTATCGTTTATTCGAATGCATGAGCCAGCTTTACGGCGCAGTACTTTTATTGTAAATGATTTTGGCTTGCAATTAAAGTGATCATACCAACATTTTCTGGCAATACACTCGATGGAACGGATATAGCGTGGAAAGTAATTTAAGCCTAAGTCGATCCAGTTGATCCTGGAGGAGCATTCCCAGGGTCGCTGCTTAAAGCCATCGATTCTCGGATGGTGTCCCACCCGATCCATGAATGCGCTCCTGGTTCGCAGGCTCTTGCTCCTCGCCGGTTCCTTCTTTTCCACCAACGCAAAGTGATTGGTCTCCCAGGCGGGAAAGTGGCTAACCGAAATCGCCTCACTGTCGGCATAGAATGGCAGTTCGTAGGACGAACGCTTGTAGCCCAACTGGTAGCTTTTCTCCTCGGGCTCGCCGGGCGGATCGATGCTCATGTAGCGAGGATTGAAGGCCTGTCCCAGAATTTTGGCCAGTGATTGTGTTGAAAGCTCGGCGCAGTAGTCGGCATCATCCTGAGCCGATCCAAAGAATGCAAAAAAGGTGAGGAAAATGGCCAGCCAGCTAAGTTCCTTCTGTGATTTCATATTTGTAGACGGTGTTTGCAAAAACATGGCTGGTTGAAAACAGGGTTACAGCAGTGATAGGAACTCAACTATCGTTTTAATGGCTGCGGCTATCGTTGGTAGTACTTTTTCAAGCCTCATCACAAAATTATAGAAATTTTTAAAAATCGAAAAGAAAAACATTTCAATTTAGTGCCAATAACTAGATATCAAATCCAATTTTTATTAGAAGATTGTAAATTATAATTTATTTATTTATAAGCAACTAAAACGTATTTAATTCTTTGGACAAAGTCGCATAACTAATAACTATAAATCAGACAAGTTATTATGTCTTTTGTAATTTTTTTTATTAGTCTATAATTTGTAATATAATATAAATTTAAGAATCCAAAGATTCGTTTTCCCACTAAAATGGGAGAGCTCTTCTGACATCTCAATCAGATATAATCCCATCTCTATGAGTTATCCGTTATGATTTATCAAAACACTAGAGTGTATGTTGTACGTTGTAAAATATACATATATATTAAATCTGCATTATTAAAAATGATTCCTCGTGTTACAACTACTGAGTGTATGCTAGTCCTTGGGTTCTGTGTAAAGTGAACGAATCGTACACGCGCTGCAGCTCAGACAGACGATACTCCTCGAGACAAACGATGCCCTGGAGCGATGGGGACAGTTTCAGGGCGCACGATAGGCAGTGAACAACGTGTCGCTTTTCCTGCTCCTTTACAAACAGAACATTGAAAACCTCAACCTGCCAAGGAATAATATTATCGTTATTTAATGGTACATAAAAATATATTTCATATATATACCTCGCATTGTCCGCAATAATGGGAAGCTTCGTTCTTCCCGCGTCCATTAAAGCGTATTTCCACACCTTTCGATCTTACATACTCTTGTATGTGCAGAACGTTTTTAAGCGTTTGCAACAAGCACATTCTAAAAATTTCAAACAATTATTAGTAATACTCCCAAAGAACACCATTATTTAATGGTTATGTACTCACTTGATCAGTTCGAAAAGTTTGGTATCGGAGACTTTAATGTTTCTTGCCAGGTTCCAGCTTAAATGAACCATGGGAACAATGCTTTTGAAGGCTTGCACTTTGTTCCACTCATATCGCTCGATGGCCAGCGAGTACTGACGGCCAGTTAAGGGACCAACATTCCACGCAATGTTGTTGCACCAACCCACCGACTGAACCCAATGTACGCAGCTAAAATAGAAATTAAAATTGTAAATGCTTAAAGTTCTTCACAAAAATCATATTTCTCTGCATACCCAGCATTCACCCAAACCAAGTCTCCGGGTTTCTGTATAAATCTGTAGACTGGAATATTCTCCTTGTACAGATCCTCCAGGACGGGCCACCACGAACCGTGCAGATAGCTGATGTTGTTCTTCTCGCACAGGTTGTGAACTCCGCCCCAGTAGGCATCTGGCACGGCAAACCATTCACAGTCCCCGGGACCGATATTGATGTTAATTGAGCAGAAGTTGTTGTTCTCCTGGTGGCCAGGCGTCCTACTTCCCGGGACTTTCATATACAGCTGAACGGTGTTCATGCCCAAAATGACGTGACCCACGTGGGAGAGCATGTTGGCAGCGGATATAACTCGTGCAAAAGCAGGCAGTTTTTGTAGCTCTGTTAGTTGTGGCTTCCACTTCTTCTCATCCGAGAGGTCAACGTTGGTTCCGAATCTAAAATCAGAGAAACCATTTCAGTATAGGCTTAACAAGTTTGTTATAAAAGCATTAGAGCGTTGGAATATCATGTACCTTAACATTTTACTATTTATTTTGTGTTTTTTACGCTTTAAAACAATATTCGAATTGGACACCGAGTCCTTTGAGTCCGAGTCCGACATTGCCTGTGAGCCCGGGAAACCCTTATCGCTTTCATCCTGCGGTAAAATAAGCTATGAGATAAAGTAAACTGTATTATGTTGACGAGAAACCTTACAACGAACGTTACCTTCAGGCTGTCTTGAAAACTGGATGCCTGATATTGGGCATATTTGGCAATTGTTGTGTGAGACCGATGGGAAATGCAGGCCCAGACTCGCTTGCCCTGCGACGTGTCCCAATTTTCATCGGGCGACTGATGAACCTGTGTCCGGACCTCAACACTGTGATCCGGATTGGCTTCCACCAGCGTTTTGGTCGAAAAGAGACCGAGATCTAGCTTGAGAGCGCCAGCCAAGCCGCGTACAACGGCGATTGGATGCTTCAGGCAAAACTCCTGCAGCTGGGGGCTGAACGCGTTCTTCTTATTTTCTAAATGAACCGAGGGAGTGGGGGGCAGGAGTTGATCCCTCGTGAGTTTCTGCGGTGGGCAGTCGGGCGGAGATGGCGGGGGCGCGTTCACTTGCAAAATAGTGCAGTGCACGGGCGGTTCATCGATGGGCAGCAGCTTCACGGCTGCCATCAACTGTTTTGAGTCCATTTGTATTTTGAACGTGGTCGACAAGTCGTCGGCGACACCACCATTATTATATTCATTGTGCTTTGAGTCCTCATTGTTACTCAAGGCATCGTGGCTTAAACGCTCCAGTTTAATAGTCTCATTTTGTTTATAAATATCATTCGAGATGTCATCGAAAGTGTCAACAACACTTTGCTCCGAATTCTTGTTGCTTTCCGGCATGGCGTTGAAATTGCGCTGGTTTAATGAGTCTGAAATGTCTGTAATACAGATGTTATGATGTTATTAAAGACGATCGAGTGTATCAACCTACTTATTAGATTTTGATGCAATTGCGATGATGCCTGAATATTGTTTTGCATTAATTCTGGCTGGCCTGCTCCATCATCCTTAATACGTTTCGCAGGTATGGGACTTTGGCTGAGTTGGCTGTGCGGATAGGGTGGAGGTGGCCCCTGAAAATACATTTTATTGAACTTCTTAATCTTGTTAAAGAAACTTGATGTAA